AGCACGTATCTGAGCTCAGATCACAGGTGGGATCAGTGTCCTGTGTTGTCTGTGACTCTAAACAAACAGTAAATCAACAATAGTCATTGTGCCAATCGTGCTCCAGTATACATGTGTAGAATAGCACCAATACACAAGTACCATTTAGTATATAGTTTATACTGTCTTTTACCACAAGCGTAACTTTCTGTAGGACTGGTGGGGACAGTCCCCACCAATAATTTCCACTTTTTTTCCCTGTTCCACTCAATTTTTTTATCCAGAGTTAACAGAGGTTGGGTGCAGCTATCTGTGCTCTGGGCGTTTGAGTGTTTTTGTTCTCTGTCTCTTGCGGCTCCTGTGTCCCGCCTCTTGGTGTAACATCATCATATCTGTCGATTTGAGACATCTTATTTGTGGTGGCATTTCACTGATGTACAAAGTATCTATGTGGTTGGAGGAGAGACACACAGCAGCACTCAGTGAATATTAATCAGCTACTTTGTTGTTTAAGTAAAAGTTAGGAGAAGGGTTGGCTAAAAAATATACATATCATGCCACTGTTCTTGAGACATAAGGAGCCATTTCAGCTAAAAAACGGCAACAGCTTGTAAGTTAGTTTTATAATGCAAGAAGCTTGAGAAAACATAGTTTCTTATTGTACAGACAGACAGAATGAGACTGTAGAGCTTCTACATATCTTAAAATTTTGTTTCTGGCATCATTATATTATTAGAGAGGTTCGTAAATCTTTTTAAACAGAGCACAGAGAGAAGTAGTGGGAGCTGCAGATTTAAAAGGGAAACAGATTCTCTGGGATATGCAACATGCAATAATATATATGTCTAAGTTTACCAGAAAGTTTACAAGAAAAAATATGCTATGCTATATTTAAAATGAAGCATATCCATTTTTTTCTGGATGGAAGGAATTGAAATTGTACTTCAGAATCAGAATCGGCTGTTATTCTTTTTATTTTTTTAACATATATATACATTAATGTTTTTGGGCCCTATATATGCAATGCACTAAAAGGCATCTATCTAACTATGTATACATATATATAAAATATCAATGTATTTTGGTTCTCTTGTGTTCTTAACAATAGCAGAGCATTCAATAAATATTTGTTTGAGCTCATTTTTGGAAAACACAAAAACCTAATGAAAGTGTTTGGGTGGAGTGACTGTAGGTCCATCAGCCTCCAGAGCATCAACACCAACTTTCATCACAAAGTTACACCCTTGTCTTTAACACTTACTTTGGCACCTTCACAATACAAAAGTAGTGATCTGCTCTTTGTTTTACTGTGCAGGAACAGACACTGCTTAGCATGTGTACCTGTGATGGATTGAAATGTGGTCATTATGAGTCAGATGCAGTTACTGTTTCTGATTTTATCTCTCTCTCTATCTCTCTCTCTATCTCTCTCTCTA